GCACCGCCAGACCCCACATGAGCAGGCTCCTGACCCCCTGGCTCAGCACCTCCAGACGTGGCACCCCCAGACTTAGCACCTCCAGACGTAGCACCCCCAGGCTCAGCACCCCCAGGCGTAGCACCCCCAGGCTCAGCACCCCCAGGCGTAGCACCCTTAGGCTCAGCACCCCCGGTCGCAGCACCCCCAGGCCCAGCACCCCTAGGAGTAGCACCCGTAGGTTCAGCATCCGCAGCAGCACCAGAGTCACCAGTAACCTTGATAGGCTCGACTGCGTCTATCTCGGACACACCTGAAAGGGCAGGACCCTGAGGGGGAGGGGGTCTACCGGGGGGGGACCTGGCACAAGGAAGAGCGGTGGCGGGGGGAGGGACGGAGTGCGGTAGGGGAAGAGGCGGTAGTAGGGGACCGACTCTTCAAACGTGACATCCTGGGAGGACAGAACAAGGCGAAAGGTGGGGTGGTAGAACTCCCACCCTGGCGCGTCAGGGGGGAAACCAAGGAAGACGCAAGGAGCAGCACGAGGGGACAGCTTGTCTGCAGACAAGTCGCGGACAAACGCCCGAGATCCCCAGACACGGAACGTAGACGCATCGCCAAACTTCCCCGTCCATAGCAAAGCTGGGGAGGTCTCCGGCATGGAGACCCTGGGGTGAAGGTTGATCTGATGCGCCGCGTACCGCACCGCAAACGGCCATAAAAAAATGGGGGGCAGCCGCATGCATCATGGACGTACGGGCAACGTCCATGACCATGCCAATGCGGCGCTCAGCAATCCCATTTTGCTGTGGAGAGTCCGGAAGCGTAAAAGTCTGGCGGATGCCTCGTGCACGACAGTAGGCTCGCAGAAGGCCAGAGGAGAACTCTCCGCCTCTGTCAGAGTGCAGCCGCAGAACAGGAAAGTCCGAGCCGAAGCTCTGCCTGAGCTGGAGACGAGCTGCGCGGATCCAGTCGATCAACATCTCAGTGACATCACCCTTGCTGCGCAAAGGGAAGACTGTGGTGTAACGCGAATAGTCGTCAACTACCAGCAGGAAGTAGCGCTCGTGTCCCTGTCTACGGACGCGGGCCGGGCCCCACACATCCATGTGAAGCGTCTGCAGTAGGGCCTCTGTCGGAGGAAACTGGGAGGAGTGAGGGGCAGCCCGCTGCCGCCCCTCGACACAGGGGATGCAGGTAGGGCCAGGCCCTGGAGGGAGGGGAGGGAGGAACCGGGGGAGACCAGAGACAAGGACACGGGAGGCCATGCCTTGAAGACGAGGCAGGGAGGGGTGACCAAGGCGGTGGTGCCACAGGAGAGTCTCGTGATACAGGAGGCGACAAGAGCAGGGGGCAGACTCAGGACCAGACCTGGACACTGCAGCAAACACCTGACCCGACGCAGCTACCTGACCAGACGCAGTGAGAGGAGGAGACTCAGTGGTCAGTGTGTATAGGCTCGACCCCGGCCGACGTGTAAACGTGGCTTGGTGTCGGCGTGTGCGAGCGTCCGTGCAGTGGGTCACCCGCTGACTCGCAGGAGTGAACTGGTGAACCCCCGCATCATGTAGGTCAGCACCACTCACCAAGTTTGTAGAGAACGAGGGGAGGTAAAGACCAGACAAGTTGCCAGAGGGGGCCGCCGAACACGGGAGGACAGTGGAGATGTGAGAAAGGACAGGACCCCCAGAGGGGTCTGCCAGAGAGACTGCAACTGGCCGACGAAGCGGCGTGAGTGTGGTGCGGTCTCGAAAGAAGGAGCGAGAAGCCCCCGAGTCAAGAGTGAAGGTTAGGGAGGCCGAAGCCAACGCGGTACCTCAGAGCGCAAACTCACCAGCACATGAGGAAGCAGACGCACTGGCACCGAGAGCAGCAGCCTCGCTAGCACCTATAGCAGCAGCCTCACCAGTACCTAGAGCAGCAGTCTTAATGCCTGGGTTGGGCAGAAAACACCGGTAATAGTCACCCCCATCGCTAATAGTCTCAGCATACATGGCAGCAAGAATAGCATTAAAGTCAAGGTCAAAGATAGCTACTCCCGCCCTAGACAGCTCACCCCAGCGGGGGATCTCAGTGGCCTCCCGGAGCTGGTGACGCCAAGCGTCCGTCAGGCGGCCAAAGTAGCGCTGGGTGGGGTGCGCACCCCCACACTGCTTACCCGCGCGGTCGCCGGTGCGTAGGACATAGGTGCATGGACCAGTACCCCCACCCCGCTGACGTGCAACGTACCACCCGGCTAGCCCCTCTAGCGTCCCTGCCCCCCTTGCCCTTGCTAGGGCGGCGTCTCCCGCTAGGGGTAGACGCCGCACCGACCGACTCAAGCCCAACAAGGTCGGCCGCAGCAGCAGAGGCAACAAAGAGCAAAAGGGGGGAGGGGGGACACCCCTCAAATATGGGGGTGCGAGGGTCACCACGGGAGGCTCCTACAGCGACTATGCTCTTCTCTGCTGCTAGGAGGGCCTTCTCGAAGAGGTCAACGGTGAGAGTGGTGGGGCAAACTGAGAGGAAGTGGTCCTGGACTACGCGAAGAGAGTCAGGGAGCTGGGTGACTATGAAGTAGAGGGTGATGTAAATAGGGGGGGGGGGTTCTTGGCGCAGAACTCAGCAGGAAGCCAGCGCGGTAGCGAGTGTCACTAGTGCGGAGGTGCGTAATGAGGTCAGCGACTGTTGGAAAGGCAGCAAGGTCAGGGAAGAGGTACGGTAGCATGAGGCGGCTCAGTGCAGCAGTGGCAGGGGAGGAGTAGCGTGCAACAACAGTGTCGTACAAGGTCTGAGCACTCTTGTACTAGCTAAAGTGCGCACGCTCAGAGGTAGGTGGCGACGCACAGCAAGACATACTGCAGCATCGCGTGTGGCCCACTGTGAGCGAACAGTGGCGTCAGCATCAGCAGCAGGGGCAGGAGAGGCACCAGAGGTGAGGTCAAAGAGGGAGAGACCCTCCACCCTATCGCACTGTAGGAAAAGCTGCAGGTCATCTACCAAGATGTCAAAGTCAATGGCCCGACCCTAAGCGTCAAAAGTGAGGACACTAGGGGTAGCCATGACAGTAGTAGACTAGTAGCGCGAAGAAACTGTGCGCGTCGTTCAGCGAACGAACTTCAGCAAAACTGTGTTGCGGCACCTCCACCGTGCCGTCAACGAACTTCTTCAGCTGCACAATCTCCAATAGCAGCTCAATAGACTCAATCCACGTTGTCAAGTCATGACGCTCTTCGAGCAATTTCGGCAGGACGATTTTGTCGGGTGAGAACTTGAAGTATCTGTATTATGGAGCGATTCCACCATCGCATACAGTTGACGCATTTGCCATCGACGAGGGTCGGCCACCGATTTGTCGTGCAAAGTTGCGACGACTATGTACGTCACTACGCGCTCTCGCTGCGGCGGCTGACCGAAGAACTTGCACTTGCGTTCCACCGACGCTCGTGATGTTCACTCTGACGGCCCCTCGGAGCTCAGCGTGCGTAACTCTTGCACCTTCATTGCCATCGAGGTTGACGTTATTGCCTTTAGCACGTGGAGAAGCGGACTCAATTTCCACCTCAGCGCGAGGAGATGGATGATCGCGAGCCCACTTCGAACAAGCTCCTTTGATCATCAGCTCCAGATCCTCGGCGCTGATTTTGCCAGCGCTGTGGCATTCCCGCAAAGCAGCGACCTGCGCTTCCAGGTCCATGCGTTCCGTAGCGGCGCCCTCGCCCGCCAAACGGAATCGATGTGGCTGCTGACCCAAGGTTGACAACTTCGTCAATCGAATCTGAGGCTATCTAAAGTCCGCGTGTGCGTCCACGCTCACCGCACCATGCGGAGAATAGGCGATTGTGGGAGAGCTAGGCGTAGATTTGCACGATCAGAGAGTGAAGTGTGAGGTTTGCGATACGGACTCATTGGAATCTGAAAACTGGTATTTGGAGAACAGTATGCTTGGTATGCAGCAACAGGCTTATGGCAGATATATATGACCTAGTCTTTATAGGCTCTAATGGGGTAGACACTAAGGGGTACAGGTTTCTAGGGTTTCATATTTGTATCCAACATTTTCCTAGTTCATCCATTTTTTCTCATTCTTCACATGGTATAGAGCGGGTTCCCTAGTGGGACCGTTTCTTCCTAAGGCCCCACCTTCGATTTTTTTTTTTTTAGCGTGCTCGAAGCGCGCTTCGCGTCCTGCCCTAAATTTTTGCGGCTTCTTTGTGGCCTGCCCCTTCACGGTCCCTTAACGGCCCCTTCACGACCCCTTTAGCGACCCCCCCCCCCTCGCGGCCCTCCTTCGCCACCCCGTCGCGGCCCCTTTACGGCCCCTTCGTGGCCCCTCGCGGCCCCTCTTAAGGCCCTTTGCGGCCCCTTCGCGGCCCTTTGCGGCCCCCTCACGGTTCTTCGCGGCCCCTTCGTGGCCCTTAGCAGCCCCCTCTCGGCCATTTGCGGCCCCTTCTTGGCCCCTTCGCGGCCCTTCGCGGCCCCCTCTCGGCCCTTCGCGGCCCCTTCTTGGCTCCTCTGCGGCCCTTCATGGCCCCTTCGGGCCCCTTGGCGGCGCTTTCGCGCCCCCCCCCCCCCCCCCCCCCCCCCCCCCCCCCCCCCCCCCCCCCCCCCCCTCCCCCTTCGTGGCTCTTTACGGCTCGCCGTAGCTGCCCTGTCGCCCCGTCGACGCCACCTCACCAGCAGTTGCCGTCACCCCTGCTGCCGCTGTAGCGGCCCTCCCGCCCCGTCATCCCTGTTCCTGCAGCACGGCCGTCCCTACAGCAGCTGCCGTCGCCGTCCTTGCCGCCACAGCAGCTGCCGGCCCTGCTAGTGTCGCGAGCCGTCGCCGCTGCTGCAGTCCCTGCTGCCCCGGCCCTGATCTGCAGCCGAGCCACGGCCCTACCCTGCTGCCCAATTGCGGCGCCGGCCCTGCCGGCGCACCTCGGCCCTGCCACTCCGGTCGCGGCCACCCTACCCACTCGCCACTGGTAAGCGCCCTGACGAGCCGCGCCCCTTTAGCCGAGTCGCGCTGCTGCTAGCCTGCTGCTGCTGCTGCTGCTGTCATGGCTACCCCCAATGTGCTCACCTTTGATGCTGAGGGTCGGGCTGTCGATTTTGAGGTCTGGGTCGATGATCTGCAGCTTTTCCTGCAGTGCGATAGAAAAGACGGTCTCTCACTGTTCGATCTCACGTCCGGCGCCTCTGCTGCCCCTACTGCCGATGCTGACAGTACTGTTCGCTCACAGTGGGCCACACGCGATGCTGCTATCCGTCTTGCTGTGCGTAGTCACCTGCCGTCCACTGAGCGCGCGCACATTAGTAAGTACAAGAGTGCTAAGACCTTGTACAACGCTGTAGTTGCACGCTACTCTTCCCCTGCCACTGCTGCCCTTAGTCGCCTCATGCTGCCGTACCTGTTCCTTGACCTCGCCGCCTTTCCCACAGTTGCTGATCTCATTACGCACCTTCGCACTAGTGACACTCGCTACCGCGCTGCACTTCCCACTGAGTTCTGCGCCAAGAACCCCCCCCCCCCCCATGTACATCACCCTCTACTACCTAGTCACCGGCTCCCTGAATCCCTTCGCTTGGTCAGGGACCACTTCCTCTTTGTTTGCCCCACCATGCTAACCGTTGACCTCCTCGAGGAGCGCCTCCTTGCAGCTGAGAAGAGTATAGTCACTGTAGGAGCCTCTCGTGGTGACCCTCGTACCCCCTTCTTTTAGGGGTGCTCCCCCATTCCCCTTTTGCCCTCTGTTGCCTCTGCTATTGCTGTCGACCTCGTTGGCACCGAGTCGGTCGGTGCTGCGTCTGCCTCTAGCAGGAGACGCCGCAATGGCAAGGGCAAGGGCGCTGGAGGAGCTGGTGGGGGCGGTGGTGGTGGCGGTGAAAGGGGCGGAGGGGGTGGGGGTGGCGGTGGGAGTGGTGGCGGGGGTGGGGGCTTAGGTGGCGGCGGTGGAGGCGGAGGCGGAGGCGGCGGTGGCGGTGGGAGCAGAGGAGGCGGCGGTGGCGGCGGTGGCGGCAGCCGCGGTGGAGCTGGTCGGGGTGGCTCTGTGCAGCGGGGAGGCTTCGGTGGTGGTCAGCGCCAGTAGCAGCAACGCGCTCGTGAGACCCCGCCCCCCCAGCAGCTTCGTGAGTGGTACGCTGCGCGTCAGCGGGGTGGGAGTGCTGGTCACTGTGCCTACGTCCTGCGTACCGGCGACCACACTGGTGAGCCGTGCGGCGGTCTGCACGCCACCCAGCGCTGCTTCGGCCGCCTGACGGACACCTGGCGTTTCCAGTTCCCTGACGCCACTGAGATCCCTCGCTGAGCGAGTTGCTTAGGTCGGGGGTTGCTATCTTTGATCTTGATTATGATGCTATTCTTGCTGCCATGTATGTTGTGTCTACTAGTGACTGTCAAACACTATATGTGTTGTTGTTGTGTAGGCTATAGTGGGTTAGCCTTTAGGGGGTACACAAAACTAGGGTTCACTACTTATACCCCATCTTTTCATAGTTCACACACTTCTCATTCTAACATGGTAGCAGAGCTTAGGTTCTAGACCTAGGACTCACCTAAGGGCCCACCATTAGAAGTGCCCTCAAGCGCCCCATTGTCCTAGCGCCCTCGAGCGCCGTTCCCCTAGTGCGCCCTCGTGTGCCTCGTCTTCTCCTGTTGCCTGTGCGCGACTCGCTAGTGCCGCGCGCGGCCTTTTTTTTCCGCGCGTCGCCCCCTAGCAGCCCGCGCGCGGCCGTTTCTGAGCGCGCGCCGCCCGTTAGCCGCCCACGCCGCCACGAGGAGCCCGTCGACCGGCCCCCTCCTAGCCGCGCGCCGCCCGTGAGCCACCCGTAGGCCGCCGCGACGCCCTCCCTAGGCCACCCGCCCGCTAGTAAGGCCCACGAGTGGCCCCGGCCTGCCCGCTACAGCTGCCCACGCGCTCGTCCCCTAGGCGCACACCGCCGCGTAGCCCAGACCGGGCCGAGCCGCACAGCCCGAACCGAGCCGCGCCGCCCGAACCGAGCCGCGCCGCTCGAACCAAGCCGCGCCGCCCGAACCGAGCCGCACCGCCCGAACCGAACCGCGCCGCCCGAACCGAGCCGCGCCGCCCTACTGTGCCCCACCTGCAGCAACTCCTGTTCCTGTTCCTACTGTACTACTGCTACCACTGCTGCTGTTCCTACTGCCACAATGGCCACCCCATCCATTCTCACCTTTGACGCTGAGGGTCGCCCGATTAAGTTTGAGGTGTGGCTAGATGATCTTCACCTGTTCCTTCAGATCACTGCAAAGGACGATGTCTCACTGTATGACCATACGTCAGGCGCTGCTCCCGCACCTCCCGCTACTGCTGACAGTACTGCTCGCTCCAAGTGGCAGACCCGTGATGCACACGCTCGCCTAGCCGTTTGCAGTCACCTACCGTTAGATGAGCGCGAACACTTCGAACAGCATAAGACCGCAAGGAGCTGTACGACGCAGTAGTCGCGCGCTACTCCTCCCCTGCCACAGCTGCCATAGGCCGTCTCTTACTGCCCTACCTCTTCCCCGACCTGTCCGTCTTTGCCACTGTAGCTGACCTCATCACCCACCTCTGTACCAGTGACCTCTGCTATCGTGCAGCGCTCCCCCCCGATTTCCTCGCCAAGAACACACCCCCCCCCCCCCCCCCCCCCGATGTACATCACACTGTACCACCTTGTCACCCGCCTCCCCGACTCCCTTCGCACTGTCAGGGACCAGTTTCTCGCCCTCTCCCCCACTGACCTCACTGTCGACCTCCTTGAGAAGGAGCTCCTAGCAGCTGAGAAGAGCATTGTCGCTGTAGGTGCCTCTCGTGGTGACCCCCGTACCCTCTTCTTTGAGGGGTGCTCCCCCTCCCCCCTCCTCCCCTCCATTGCATCTGCTGCTGCTGTCGACTTCCTTGGAGCTGAGAGAGTCGGGGCCGCGTCTGCTCCTAGTGGGAGACGCAAGGGCGGCAGGGGCAAGGGAGGCATGGGTGGTGGAGGTGGAGGCGGGGGCAGCGGCGGTGGAGGAGGTGGGGGGGGCGGGGGTGGTGGCGGAGTGGGAGTGGCGCGGGTGGTGGGGGGGTCAGTGGAGGCACCGGGGGTGGTGGCGGCGGCAACGGTGGTGGGGGTGGTGGCGGTGGTGCTGGCAGTGGTGGCGGCGGTGGAGCGGGTGGCGGGCGCGGTGGAGCGGTACAGTGTGGGGGGTTTGGCGGTGGCCAGAGGCAGCAGCAGCAGCGCCCCGGCGAGGCTCGGCCGCCCCAGCAGCCCCGTGAGTGGTACTCTCAGCGTGGAGGGTCTGGGGGAGGGGGTACCTGCCCGTATGTCATCCGCATAGGTGACCGCACTGGCCAGACTTGTGGGAGGTTTCAGACTGCGCAGCGCTGTTTCTTTCGCCTCGACGACGCCTTGCGTGAGCAGTTTCCTGACGCCTCTGAGCTCCCCCGCTGGGCTGATCTGCTTAAGAAGGGGATTGATATCTTTGCTCTTGATTATGATGCTATTCTTACTGCTATGTATGCATTGACTATTAGTGCTGAGGGTGACTGTTACATGAGTGTTCCGCCTGACCCGGGCATTGGGACTAGTGAGGCTGCAGCTCTAGGTGCTAGCACGTCTGCTGCTCTAGGTCCTGGTGAGGCTGCTGCCCTAGGTGCTCGTGCGTCTAGGTCTGCTAGCACCGCACCTAATGAGGCACTACACACCTTCACACTGGACTCAGGTGCTTCCCGCTGTTTCTTTCGTGACCGCACTACCCTAGAGCAGCTTCCTCGACCGGTTGCTGTCTCTCTGGCTGACCCCTCAGGGGGTCCGGTCCTTGCGACCTCCACCACTGCCCTCCCTTGTCGTGCTGTCCCGTCTGGCACGTTGTTGGGCCTCTACCTCCCCTCGTTCACTACGAACTTGGTGGCGATTTCCGCGCTCTAGGACGCAGGTGTTCACCACTTCACCCCGGCCTACGAGCGTGTGACGCACTGCACGTGTGCACGGATGGGTCGTCACCTGGCTACCTTCACTCGGCAGCCAGGGTCGGACTTGTACACACTGACCACTAAGTCCCCTCAGGTAGCTGCGTCTGCGTCTGCGCCTGCGTCAGGTCAGCTGTCGGCCCCCTGCTCGTGTCGCTCCCTGTCATACAGGACTGTCCTCTGGCACCACCGCCTTGGTCACCCGTCAGTGCAGCGCCTTCGCGGCATGCACTCCAAGTACCTTGTCTCTGGTCTTCCCAGGGTTCTCCCTCCCCTCCCACCCTCATCTGCTCCTCCTTGTCTTCCCTGTGTCGAGGGGTGGCAGCGCGCTGCTCCTCACTCCTCCTTGTTCCCTCCCACACAGGCTCTCCACCTGGACGTGTGGGGCCCCGCCTGCGTCCGGGGACAGGGCCACGAGCGGTACTTTCTGCTGGTCGTCGACAACTACATGGGCTACACCACGGTCTTCCCCTTGCGTACCAAGGGTGAGGTCCGTGATGTCTTGATCCCCTGGATCCGCACTGCTCGTCTCCAGCTCCGCCAGAGGTTCTAGTCGGACTTTCCAGTCCTGCGTCTGCACTCTGACAGAGGTGGCGAGTTTTCCTCTGACCTCTTGGTAGCCTACTGTGCGGAGCACGGAATCACCGAGTCGTTCACGCTCCCAGCCTCTCCACAGCAGAATGGGATTGCTGAGCGCCGCATTGGTCTTGTCATAGAGGTCGCTCGTACCTCCATGATCCATGCGGCTGCCCCCCATTTCCTGCGGCCGTTTGCAGTGTAGTACGCCGCGCATCAGCTCAACCTCTGGCCCCGTGTCTCTGTTCCGGAGACCTCGCCTACCCTGCGTTGGACGAGGGAGGTTGGCGATGCGTCGGTGTTCTGAGTCTGGGGATGTCGAGCCTTTGTCCGCGATACGTCCGCGGACAAGCTCTCCTCCTGTGTCGTTCCCTGTGTCTTCCTTGGCTTTGTCCCTGGCGCTCCTGGTTGGTAGTTTTACCACCCCACCTCGCGCCGGGTCTTTGCCTCTCAGGACGTCACCTTTGACGAGTCGGTACCCTTTTACTGTCTCTTTCCCTACCGCACTGCCCCGCTCCCCCCTCCGCCGCTCTTTCTCATGCCAGGTGCTGCTTCAGTAGACCCCCTGCCTCCCGAGGGTGTTGCTCCCTCAGGTGTTTCCCAGGTAGACCCGGTCGAGCCTGTCGAGGTAGCTGTTGACTCTGGTCCTGTGCGAGGTACTGAGCGTGCTGAGCCCGGGGGTGCTGAGACTGCGGGTTTGGAGACTGGGGGTGCTGAGTCTGGGGGTGCGGAGACTGGGGTTTCTGAGTCTGAGGGTGCGGAGACTGTAGGTGCTGAGCCTGGAGGTGCTGCGACTAGGGGTGTTGTACCTCAAGGGGCTGGGGGGCTTTGAGACTGACCGTGCTGCGCCTGCTGGCGCTCCTTCTTCACAGCAGCTGCGTGAGTGGTACTCCCAGCGTTGCAGCCTTCTTCGTGGGGCTCCTGGAGCTGGGGGGTCTGCTGGAGCTGGGGCTAGTCGTCTTGCGGGTGCCGTGTTGCAGCTGGAGCCTCCCTCCCCTCAGCGGCTACGTGAGTGGTGCGCTCGGCGCTGCAGCCTCCGGAGTGGAGCTCCTGGTGGTGAGGTACCGCCCGCTGGAGACGCTACCGCTGTTGGAGGTCCTGGAGCTCCTGACGGTGCTGCTGCTGCTGCTGGAGGTGCTAACGGTTCTGCTGAAGCCATTAGAGGCACTGGAGGTGCTGGAGGTGCTGCTGGAGCTGCTGGAGGGTCTGCTGGAGCAGCTGGAGGTTTTGGTGCTGTCTCTGCTACTGCTGGGGGCACTTCACAGCCACGGCCGTACTTCGTTCCACTCCATCAGCAGGTTCTTGGTCAGCCACCTCCTCCTAGTCCTCCCTCCTCCGTAGAGTGTCCTCCACCTGTCCAGTCGCAGTCACAGCTACCGCCTGCCTCGCCGCTTCGTGGTCCTCCTCCCTCCGCTGGTCATAAAGGCGGTCTTACAGAGCATCGTAAGCCTGAGTCTCGTCCTGTGTCGCCTGTGTCCCGTCCGGCGTCACATGTTCGTACTGCTTGTGCTAGTCGCCGTGTGCCACGTGAGCGTCCACCACCTGTCTTTGGCACACACCGGATGTCACTACGTCCCTCCACTGCTCCACAGCGTGTGCCTCTGCCATCTCCTCCCTCGTCCTCTCTACCTGCCCTTGCTGACCCAGAGACTGACTCCGTTCGTGCTGCCAATCTTACTGTCACGCGTCTCTTGGCCATTGCTGTCACTGACCCTTCTTTTGAGTCGGCTGCTGCCTCTGCCCTAGTTGCTGAGCTTGTCGACTTTGCTGCTCGCTGTCGTCTAGACTACGCTGCCAGTCGTGTTGCTGAGTCAGAGTCTGTTTGTCCTCCGTCCGTCGGGGGTGAGTGTGCTCTAGGCACGGACGTCCTTGAGGACATACAGGAGGACCTTGAGTGTCTTGCAGACGCTGCGCCCCATCTCGTGTCCATGCTGATTGCCCCTGAGGGAGACCCGGATGCACCAGACATCCCGACTCCTCGATCGTACGCTGAGGCGATCGAGGGTCCCTACTCCTCACAGTGGCAGTCGGGTCGGACTTTCCTATTCTGCGTCTGCACTCGAACAGAGGTGGAGAGTTTTCCTCGACCTTCTGCGAGCCTTCTCTCGTGCACGAGGCATCCGCCAGACGTTCACGCTTCCGGCCTCTCCATAGCAAAATGGGATTGCTGAGCGCCGCATTGGCATAGTCATGGACGTCGCTCGTACGTCTATGATCCATGCGGCTGCTCCCCATTTTCTGTGGCCGTTTGCGGTTCAGTACGCGGCGCATCAGATCAGCCTTCCGCCCCGGGTCTCCTTGCTGGAGACACCCCCTTCTCTGCGGTGGACGGGGAAGGTTGGTGTTGCGTCTGCGTTTTGTGTCTGGGGATCTCGAGCTTTTGTCCGCGACTTGTTTGCGGACAAGCTGTCCTCCCATGCTGTTCCCTGCGTCTTCCTTGGCTTCCCCCTTGACGCGCTTGGGTGGCAGTTTTACCACCCCACCTCGCGCCGTGTTCTGTCCTCCCAGGACGTCACGTTTGACGAGCCGGTTCCTTACTATCGTCTCTTCCCCTACCGCATTGCACCCCTCCCCCCCCCCCGCCACTCATCCTCGCCCAGGTCCCTCCATCGGTAGACCCCCTTCCCCCTCAGGGTCCTGCCCCCTCACGTGTGTCCCAGGTAGACGCAGTCGAGCCTGTCAAGGTAGTTGTTGACTCTGGTGCTGCTAGGGGTGCTGGGCCTGCGGGTGCGGGGTCTAGGGGTGCTAAGCCTGAGCGTGCGGAGCCTAGGGGTGCCGGGTCTGGGGGTGCTGAGCCTGGGGGTGCGGAGCCTGGGGTTGCTGAGTCTGGGGGTGCTACGCCTGAGTGTGTTGGGCGTGCTCGTGTGGAGTCTGGTGGTGCTGGGCCTAGAGGTCCCTTGGGTGCTTCATCCCGGCGGGAGCTACCCTCTCCATAGGAGCTATGCAAGAGGTTTGCTCGGTGCTTGAGCCGTGCTGCCAGAGCTGGAGGTTCTACTGCTGCTGGGGGTGCTGGAGGCACGGGTCCCGGAGGTGCTCGTACTGGAGGTAATGGAGCTGCTGGGCCTAGGGGTGCTCCTAGTGCTGGAGCTACTGGCAGTGTTGGAGCTCGCGGTGCTGCAGGAGTGGGTGCTACTAGAGGTGCTAGAGCTAGAGCTGCTGAGTCTTCCGGTGGTCCTGCTGGAGCTGTAGCTGCTAGAGATGCTGGAGCTAGAGGTGCTGCTAGAGCCAGTGCTCCTATGGGTGCTGGCCTTACTACTCCTGGAGCTGGTGGAGCTGCTGAAGTCGGAGCCAACCCTGGGGGTGCTGGTGCTGTCCCTGCTGGTTCTGGAGGAGCTGCGCGGCCACGGCCGTACTTCATTCCGCTCCTTGAGCAGGTTCTTCGTCTTCCGACCTCTACTGGTCCTGCTCCTTCCTCAGAGTGTCCACTGCCTGTCCAGTCCGAGTCACAGTTACAGCCCACCACCCCACTGCCTGCTCCTTCTCCTTACACTGGTCCTACTGGAGGTCTTGCTGAGCGTCGTGAGCCTGCGTCTCGTCTTGCGTCGCTTGTTCGTGCTGCTCGCACTAGTCATAGTGCTGCGCGTCTGCGTCAGCGTCCTCCTGCGGTCCCAGGAACGCACCAGATGGCACTGCATCCTTCCACTGCTCCACTGCGAGTCCCTTTGCCATCTCCTCCAGAGTCCTCTCTTCCTGCTCTTGCTGACCCGGAGTCTTACTCCCTTCGTGCTGCCACTCCTACTGTCACGCGTCTCCTAGCTACTATTGTCACTGACCCTTCCTTTGAGTCCACTGCTGCATCTGCCTTAGTTGCTGAGCTTGTCGACTTCGCTGCTCACTGTCGTCTACACTATGCTGTTAGTCTTCTTGCTGAGTCTGAGTCTATCTGACCTCCGTCCAAAGGGGGTGAGTGTGCTCTTAGCACGGACGTCGTTGAGGACAAGCAGGAGGAGTATCAGTGTTTTGCTACTTCATTACCTCATCTCGTGTCCATGCTGATTGCCCGTGACAGAGACTCGGATGCATCAGACATCCCAAATCCGCGCTCTTAAGCAGAGGCGATAGAGGGTCCCTACTCCTCTCAGTGGCAGTCAGCCATGGACGCAAAGATGGCTTCTTGGAAGTCCACAGGCACCTACATTGACGAGGTTCCCCCACCTGGGACGAACATCGTCAGTAGCATGTAGATTTTCAGGGTGAAGTGGCCGCCAGGTTCTTCGCCTGTCTTCAAGGCTCGTTACGTGGCTCGAGGCTTCAGTCAGCGGCACGGAGTTGACTACTTTCAGACCTTCTCTCCCACCCCAAAGATGACCACTCTTCGGGTGCTGCTGCACATAGCCGCTCAGCGCGACTACGAGCTTCACTCTCTCGACTTCAGCACTGCTTTCCTATAGGGCAGCCTGCACGAGGAGATCTGGCTGCGCCGCCCACCTGGCTCCATTGGGTCGTTTCCTCCTGGTACCCAGTGGAGCCTCCGGTGGCCAGTCTACGGTCTTCGCCAGGCACCCCGTGAGTGGCACGACACACTGAGGACTACACTTGCGGCTCTTGGGTTTGCTCCTTCTACAGCCGACCCGTCGCTGCTTCTACGCACCGACACCTCTTTGCCGCCGTTTCTACATCCTCGTGTACGTCGACGACTTGGTCTTTGCTAGTGCTAACACTGCTGGACTTGCCCACGTGAAGTCCGAGCTGCAAAAGAGACACACGTGCACAGACCTGGGTGAACTGCGTAGCTACCTTGGCTTGCAGATCACCCGGGACACAGCACGGCGCACCATTGCATGGTGCAACAGGTCCTTCAGTGCTTCGACTTCACGTACTCCTTGCCTCAGGCCACTCCTCTGTCTACTCGCCACTCGCTCTCAGCTCTGCCTTCGGATGAGTCCGTAGAGCCGAGTGGCCCGTACCCAGAACTTGTTGGCTGCCTCATGTACCTGATGACCTGCACTCGTCCTGACCTAGCATACCCTCTTAGCATCTTGGCACGCTATGTTGCTCCTGGGAGATACCAACCAGAGCACATGGCTGCAGCGAAGAGGGTGTTGCGCTACTTGTGCAGTACGTCGGGCGTGGGGCTCGTGCTTGGAGGGCGGAGTTCAGTGGTCCTCACTGGTGACGCAGACACTTCTTGAGCTGACGAGTTGGCTACGCAGTGGTCGTCACAAGGTTACACCTTCAGCGTTGGTTCCGACTCTGTTTCGTGGCGGTCTACCCGCTCGTCTTCTGTTCTCGGCTATAGCTGTGAGGCCAAGACATACGTAGGGGCCATGGCTGCACAGGAGTTACGGTGGCTCACCTACCTGCTGAGCGACGTGGGAGAGCCGCCTTGTTCTCCTCCAGTTCTGTACGTAGACAACAAGGCCATGCTGGCCTTGTGTAGGGAGCATAGACTGGAGCACAGAACAAAGCACATTGCTCTTCGCTACTTCCTTGCTCATGAGCTGTAGCAGCGTGGTCAGCTGCGCCTTGCTTACGTGGCCTCTCAGGCCAACACTGCTGATATCTTCACCAAGGCACTTCAGCCTTGTGATCATCAGCGCTTTTGTACGATGCTAGGTCTTGTGCCTACTTGGCCTCACTTGCTTACTTCTTGACCGTCCTTGTAGTGTGATCTATATATCTCGCTCTTGCTTGTTTACCTTTATATATATGATCCTGCATGTGAAATGCCCTTGTGGCCCTTGTGCCCTTGCTCGAAATGTGTGGTGATGTTGTGATCCACCCTAAGCTTGCTTTGCTTGACAAGTCTTGTGACCCCTAGTTCTCCCCCACTTTGCCTATGGGGGTGTGTCAGATATGTGTGACTTAGTCTTTGTAGGCTCTAGTGGGGTAGACACTAAGGGTTACAGGTTTCTAGGGTTTCATATTTGTATCCAACATTTTCCTAGTTCAGCCATTTTTCCTCATTCTTGACAGCTTAGTATCCAGTAACAAAAAAAAAGTAACTGATTAATTGATTGATTACAACAGATACTATACAACATGAACCTTTTAGGAAACATAGTGACATGTGTCAGAATGTTATAATTGTCTAGCTTGCAGTGGGGTACTCTATACTGAGTACAACCTAATTAGGGTTTCCTATATGTATGCCAATTGCTTCTAGTGCAAACCCTCTCTCTTCTTCATTCCTCATTTTTCACAACATGTGCGAGAACGTTTTACGAGAACGTTGTTCAAGGAGAACGTGCAAGCACCTACTCTAGTATGCGGTTCCAGGTTGGCACCGCCAGGTGAAAATGCCATGAGGTGAAAGTACCATCAGGTGCATTTTCTAATTGCCCAGGAGTAGTTGCGCGGGTGCTCGCAACAAACAGCTGCACATACTCGTTTGTGCAATATCGACTCTTCCCTCCAATTCGATTCAGTGCTGAACAGTGCATACCGAACTGCACTATTGGAGTGTACTCGGCGAATGCCGAAGCTCCGGTATGCGGTAAGCGAAACCTTGCTACATCGCATAGGGCTGCTACATGCCAAACCAGGCGCGTGGAGGGCTTCACCTTAACATGGGTGTGGTTGAAAGCAGAGCTCTGGGTTCGTCTGGATGACACCTGGATTGGTGGGCCTCCTAGGACTGCTACCAGTGGCACTCTTGCTGCTACAGTCCTTGCAACACTCCCTACTACAGTCACTAATATGGCGTGAGTTGCAGTACTTGCTACAGGACCTGCTAAAGTGCCATGCGTTCTACCACCGATGCACTCCTTGCCCCTGCACATGTGCCAGCTACTGCCATCGCTGCCACCACTCATGGTAATGCTGGGAACCATGAAGACAACATTTATGGCAGTTGTAGAAGAAGCAGCAGCTGCTGGAGTAGTATCAGAAACAGAGTGTTTGTAAGCAGTAGTAGCAGAGCAGTAGTAGCAGAGCAACAGAATCTATAAGCAGTAGTAGCAGATTAGCATTAGTAGAGCAACACCACTGGTAAGCAGAGTGGATGAGCCAGATGAGCCAAAAAGAGCTTGCTCAATCGTAGCATCTATCAGTGCCTGTTCGACCCTGCCTCTCCCTTGACTCTGCCGCAACTGCTCGTACAGCTGGGGCTGCTGCTGCTAGGTCACACTCTGCTGCTGGCTCTCCTCCCCTTCTCCTACTTCTCCATCTTCATTAATAGGCGACTCGTTACGAGTCAAGAGAATGCGCTGTGTCAGAATATATCTGTAACTGCCTGTAGCTGTAGCTAGTGTAGTTATTATAAACTTTGTTTGGTGGTGAACCTTCTTTGATACTTTGCTATATGTTCTAGCAAACCTATAGTGAAGCCCACTCTTTCCAACCCTCTCGACTTCCTTTGGCCTAGGCTACTAAGCCTAGGCCCTACTCTTACTATCTCAACATGGTAATCAGAGCACGTACCTTCCTGCTGCCTTCCTTAATGGGCCCACCAATGTGCTTCCGCTGCCTATCGTCCTGTCGCGCGCCTCGGGCGCGCGGTGTATTTTCTCGCCGTATGCTCTGGGCGCACGGCAGTTTTCTGCCCGCCGTGCGCCCTGGGCACGCGGCGTCTTACTGCAACGCGTGCGGCCTGCCCTCACGCCGCCTGCGCGCCTGCCTCGTGCTCGTCGCGACGCACCTGCGGGACCCGGGCGTCGCCGCTCCTACTCGTCGCGACGCCCCTGCAGGACCCGCGAGGCATCGCCCTGCTCGTTGCGACGCCCCTCCGGGACCCGCGGGGCGTCGCCGCTGCTCGTCGCGGCGCCCCCTGGACGCCACCCCTACTCGTCGCGGCGCCCCTGGGGCGTCGCCCTTACTCGTCGCGGCGCCCCTTGGGCGCCGTCCCTGCTCGTCGCAACGCCCCCTGGACGCCGCCCCTGCTCTTCGCGGCGCCCCTGGGGCGTCGCCCTTGCTCGTCGCGGCGCCCCTTGGGCCCCGTCCCTGCTCGTCGCGGCGCCCCTTGGGCGCCGCCCCTGCTCGTCGCGGCGCCCTCCCCCCTGGCCACCGCCTCTGCCTCACCTGCGCCCGCGCCAGCGTTGCAGCCGCGCGCGGGCCTACCTTGCACCGCCGCCGCCCTGCAGCAGCAGCCGCCGCCAGAGTTTGCAGCAGCACCCGCCGCCAGAGCCTGCAGCAGCGGCCGCCGCCGAGCCTGCAGCAGCAGCCGCCGCCAGGCCTGCAACAGCTGCCGCCACCGAGCCTGCAGCAGCATCCGCCGCTCTGTTGCAGCAGCCGCCGCCGTCCAGCAGCAGCAGCCGCCGCCCCTGGACCCCACGAGCTGCCCCAGCAGCAGCCCACGGCGCCGACCCTACAGCTGTATGCGCCGCCACTCCTGGACTTGGTACGGCTGCCTGCCTGTGCTGCCTGTTGCTGCCCGTGCCTGTGCTGCCCGTACCTGTGCTGCCCGTGCCTGTGCTGCCCGTGCCTGTGCTGCCCGTGCCTGTGCTGCCCGTGCCTGTTGCTGCCTGTGCCTGTGCTGCCCGTGCCTGTGCTGCCCGTGCCTGTGCTGCCCGTGCCTGTTGCTGCCCGTGCCTGTGCTGCCCTGTGCTGCCTGTGCCTGTTGCTGCCTGTGCCTGTGCTGCCCGTGCCTGTGCTGCCCGTGCCTGTGCTGCCCTGTGCTGCCTGTGCCTGTTGCTGCCCGTGCCTGTGCTGCCCGTGCCTGTGCTGCCCGTGCCTGTTGCTGTTCGTGCCTGTGCTGCCCGTGCATGTGCTGCCCGGGCCTGTTGCTGCCTGTGCCTGTGCTGCCCGTGCCTGTGCTGCCCGTGCCTGTGCTGCCCGTGCCTGTGCTGCCCGTGCCTGTGCTGCCCGTGCCTGTTGCTGCCCGTGCCTGTGCTGCCCTGTGCTGCCTGTGCCTGTTGCTGCCTGTGCCTGTGCTGCCCGTGCCTGTTGCTGCCTGTGCCTGTGCTGCCCGTGCCTGTGCTGCCCGTGCCTGTGCTGCCCGTGCCTGTGCTTCCCGTGCCTGTGCTGCCCGTGCCTGTTGCTGCCTGTGCGTGTGCTGCCCTGTGCTGCCTGTGCCTGTTGCTGCCCGTGCCTGTGCTGCCCGTGCCTGTGCTGCCCGTGCCTGTTGCTGCCCGTGCCTGTGCTGCCCGTGCCTGTGCTGCCTGTGCCTGTTGCTGCCTGTGCCTGTGCTGCCTGTGCCTGTGCTGCCCGTGCCTGTGCTGCCCGTGCCTGTGCTGCCCGTGCCTGTGCTGCCTGTTGCTGCCCGTTGCTGCCCGTGCCTGTGCTGCCCGTTGTCGCCCATTGCTGCCCCCCCCCCCCCCCCCCTTCTTCGTCTCCTTGCTGTGTGTGCAGCCGTGGAACGGAGGCTAAAGGGGTGGCGGGTATGGGGATGATGGGTGTGTGTGATCCCCTTCCCCTCCTCCTCCTTTCTCTCCCACTGCTGCAGCTGCCGCTGGGGGGGGGGGGGTGGGTGTGAGGGTGTGGGGGAGCTGGGGGAGAGGGGCTAGGGTTTTCAAGGAGTGTGGAAGGGGGAGTTGGAGGGCTGAGGAAGGTTCCAGGAAGCAGCCGCCTTGGAGCCAACAGCTTCACCTGCCAGCAGCCTCTCCTCATATAGTCCCTCCTCCTCACTTGCCCTCTCCTTCTGCTGCGCTTGGTGTACCCCTTCAGAGGGTGTCTCTGCATTAGCTTCTGCTGCAGGCAGTTATGGGGGAGTGTCAGAATATATCTGTAACTGCCTGTAGCTGTAGCTAGTGTAGTTATTATAAACTTTGTTTGGTGGTGAACCTTCTTTGTTACTTTGCTATATGTTCTAGCAAACCTATAGTGAAGCCCACTCTTTCCAACTCTCTCGACTTCCTTTGGCCTAGGCTACTAAGCCTAGGCCCTACTCTTACTATCTCAACACGCTGCAGCCGAAGCAGAATGTGATGCTGCCACCACTACTGCCGCTGCGCCTGCATCCTCAACACCACTTTTCTGCAACTGTTGCCACCAGCCACATCACTCACACCAATCACACCCTCCCCACCAGCAGCACCATTAATCACCCCGTAACCATCACTCCCACTAGGGGAGCCAACGCGAGCTCCTGTGGGCATTGTGGTACTGACGGTGGTCATCTGGGCAGCACCTCAACTCACCACCCTGTGGATCTGAGCAGGAATTACCCTTCCAGGCGCAACCCTTCCTCGCTGCCTCTTCTCCCACCCTCGCCTCCCTTGCTTCCACTCCCCTCCCTTGTCAACCTTCTTTCTCAGTTCCTTTGCCACCACTCTGTTCCCCACCAATCCATCAGTCCTTCTGGTGCCCAACTACTGTCCACTGCCATTCTACATGTGCAGAGGGCGTGGCGCTTGCTGCTGTGCCTGCCCCTTCCCATTGCGGCGGGAAAAAAAGAACCCACTCACTCATGGGAGTCGATGCTGCTACAAGCTTGCTGACCCTGCATCTGCCATTGCCGCTCCTGCTTCTGCTGCTGCCAACGGCCTATAACCATGCTGTTGAGGATGGCTCATACTAGTGCACAGGGGAGAAGGGCACGTCTAACAGAAGGGGTGAAAATGGCAGACCCAGCTGAATGGGCATAGCTGGCAAGCCGTATGGTTACCTTTGGATCAGAAACGGGCATATTGGGCAGATGGGATGAGTCAAACGGGTAAGTGGGGTGTAAGCGTGGGGGAAAGGAGCAAGGCTGGTCTCAAACGATCTGGAGGGTGGTGGGTCGGCATGTAGGCAAGCGGTTGATGTAGCTGCTGGTTGGCTACTTGAATGCTCCATCAACTGCTGGCGGGCTTAGCATCAGGTGTTGTATCAGGCGTAGATTGAGGTGCTTCAGTAGTACAAGTAGAAGCACAAGCTCGACCTGTTGCATCAACGCCCTGCTGCTTACTGCTGCTTACTTCATTTCCTATGCTTGCTTAGCTTGCAGGACAAGTGATTTTCACAGGACCCACTAACACCCACATGGTTCACTGCCACACCCACTCATGCTCCACATCTGCCCCCTTCTATTTACTCTGTAGCATGTGATCCGGTTCTTCAACTCCCAGCCTTGGCTTGAGGAGCCTCATAAGCTGCCTCACAGGTCTCTTTTGACCTCTCTTCACTCTTCATATCCTTTGTTGGATCCCTAGAGTCTTCCAGCTGTCTGCTCACCTGCCCGCCTGTTAAGGCATCTCGCAAGTGGCACACTTGTAATGACCCATTTCTGCCCTTCTTGCCACTGCTAAACCAACTGCTAGCCTGCAGCAGCTATGCCCAGAGTCATCCTCTTCCAAATAGTTCAGCTCCACTGACCCGTCCCTCTGCCTTTCGAGCTTCCGAGTCTTCCCAGCTTTGGTCGAAGCCTTCACCTTAAGCTATAGGCAGGGCAAATAAATTAGAAAATTCATGTGCCCGTATATCATTGCCTGAAATGCTGACAGCACTGCTCATTGCATGGTTCATTGACACGAAAAGGGTGCTACTCTGCATCTCCACCATACTCCATACGAACCTCTGGTCAAGTTAAGATGGCATAGCCTTCCCCCAAATATTACGTATCGGGGAGGGGGGTACCTAAAGTCAAGACTCTATAGAATGCTCTCAAGACTCTTTTGCTCAGGCTTCAGTTCTTCGTAGAATGCCTGAAAGCATGCCCTTGCCTTGAAAACGTTGAAGTGAGTGATTACCAAGCACTAGAAAAAGGTGAAGCTGGTTCTTCCAGGCCTGAACTCGTTTATTATAGGGGCATAATTATTATACGATACCGGGTGTTTTGTTCTCACACCTTGCGTCGCGGTGCCTAGTAATAGTCATGTGTAACCGTTGAGTGCACCTTCCCATTGACCTGGTTGGCAACGTAGCCTGCCCTGCACTTCAGTGTTTACGTGGGCGGAGCGGAGCGGAGGCCGGAGTGTCAGACATATATGGCATAGCTGTTGTACGCTATAGTGAGGTAGCACATATGGGGTACAGCTTTCTAGGGTTTGCATTTGTACCCAACTTTCACTTAGTCATTCCATTCTCGTTCAGTTCTTCTCATGGTATCGAGCAGGTTCCCCTGTGGGAACTGCGCCTAGGGCCCACCACTCGAAATTTTTTTTTTTTTTTTTCTGCCCGAAGCGCACTCATCCCGAGTTGCGCCTCGGGCCACTCCTTCCCCGAGCCGCCCTAGCGGCCGGCCTTACCCTCGCGGCCCCGCTACCCAGTGAACGCGGCCCCGCCGCCTCTCCTCTAGCAGCCCCGCCGCCCTGCTCTAGCGGCCCTCGCCGCCCTTACTCACGCGGCTCCGCCGCCCCTAATCACGCGGCCCCGTCGCCCCTGCTCCAGCGGCCCCGCCGACCCTGATCTCGCGGCCCTCGCCGCCCCTGATCTCGCGGCCCCGCTGCCCACGCACTCACGGCCCCGCCGCCCCTGCTACGCGGCCCTCGCCGCCCCTGATCTCGCAGCCCCGCCGCCCACGCACTCACGGCCCCGCCGCCCCTGCTACGTGGCCCCGCCACCCCTGCTATCGCGGCCCCGCCGCCCCAGCGCTCACGGCCCCGCCGCCCCTGATATCGCGGCCCCGCCGTCCCTGCGCTCCCGGCCCCGCCGCCTCTCATACGCGGCCCCGCCGCCCCAGCACTCCCGGCCCCACCGCCCCTGATACGCGGCCCCGCCGTCCCTGCGCTCCCGGCCCTGCCGCCCCTGCTACGCGGTCCCGCCGTCCCAGCGCTCCCGGCCCCGCCGTCCCTGATCTCACGGCCCTGCCGCCCCAGCACTCACGGCCCCGCCGCCCCTGATCTCGCGGCCCCGCCGCCCCAGCGCTCCCGGCCCCGCCGCCCCTGATACACGGCCCTGCCGTCCCTGATCTCACGGCCCCGCCGCCCCAGCGCTCACGGCCCCGCCGCCCCTGATCTCGCGGCCCCGCCGCCCTACCGCTCACGGCCCCGCCGCCCCAGCACTCACGGCCCCGCCGCCCCTTGCTCTCGCGCCGCCCGACTGCAGCAGCCGAGCCGCCGCACCGCCGGGCAGCAGTGCGGCCGAGCCACCCTGCACCCGAGTCGCCCGGCAGCCAAGCCGCCCTGCACCCGAGCCGCCAGGGAGCCGAGCTACCCAGCAGCCCAGTCGCTGAGTCGCCGAGCCGCCCGTCTGCCGAGCTACCCGACCTGCCCTGCCCGGTGAGCACAGTACCGCTGTCACTGCGTGCTCTTCCCCTACTGCTTGCACTGCTTCGCTGTCGCAGTCATGGCTACCCCTAGTGTCCTAGCTTTTGACGCTGAGGGTCGAGCCATTGACTTTGAGGTCTGGGTCGACGACCTGCAGCTGTACTTACAGTGCGATAGGGCGGACGGTCCCTCTCTCTTTGACCTCACTTCTGGCGCCTCCTCTGCCCCTGCTGCTGATGCTGACCCCACTGTTCGCTCTCAGTGGGCCACCCGCGATGCTGCTGCACGTCTTGCTGTGCGTCGCCACCTCCCTACCACTGAGCGCACACACTTTAGTCAGTACAAGAGTGCTCAGACCTTGTACGACGCTGTAGTTGCACGCTACTCTTCCCCTGCCACTGCTGCACTGAGCCGCCTCATGCTACTATTCCTCTTTCCTGACCTCACTGCCTTTCCAACTGTCGCTGACCTAGTTACGCACCTCCGCACTAGTGACGCTCGCTACCGCGCTGCCCTTCCTTCTGAGTTCTGCGCCAAGAACCCCCCCCCCCATGTACATCACTCTCTACTACGTAGTCGCACGCCTCCCTGACTCCCTTCGCGTAGTCAGGGACCACTTTCTCTCAGTCTGTCCCACCACCCTCACTGTCGACCTCCTCGAGAAGGCCCTCCTAGCAGCGGAGAAGAGCATCGTCGCTGTAGGAGCTTCTCGTGGTGACCCTCGCACCCCCATCTTTGAGGGGTGCTCTCCTTCCCCCCTGCTGCCCTCTGTTGCCTCTGCTGCTACTGCCGACCTGCTTGGACTTGAGTCGGTCGGCGCGGCGTCTGCCCCTAGTGGGAGACGTCACTCTGGCAAGGGCAAGGGGGGCAAGGGCGCGGGTGGAGCTGGAGGGGGCGGTGGAGGTGGCGGTGGAGGCGGCGGAGGGAGTGGGGGTGGCGGCGGGAGTGGTGGCGGTGGCGGTGGTGGTGGTGGCAGCGGCGGAGGAGGCAGCGGTGGTGGCGGCAGCGGTAGAGGTGGAGGCGGCGGAGGAGGCGGAGGAGGAGGCGGTGGTGGCGGAGGGGGTGGAGCTGGTCGGGGTGGTACCCCGCAGTGGAGCGACTCTGGTAGTGGTCAGCGCCAGCAGCAGCAGCAGCAGCAGCAGCAGCAGCGTTCGCGGGACATCCCTCCGCCCCAGCAGCTCCATGAGTGGTACACGCAGCGTCAGCGGGGTGGGGGTACTGGTCCGTGCACCTACGTCCTTCGTTCCGGCGACCGCGCGGGTGAGCAGTGTGGGGGTGCCCACCCAGCCCAGCGCTGCTTTGGCCGCCTGACGGACGCTTGGCGTCAGCAGTTCCCCGAGGCTAGTGAGATTCCCCGCTGGGGAGAGGTGTCTAGGGCTGGTGTAGCTATCTTTGATCTTGATTTTGATGCTATCCTTGCTGCTATGTATGCTGTGACTATTAGTGAGGAGGGTGACTGTTACCGGTGTTTCCCGCCCGACCCGGGCACTGGTACTGCTGCGCTAGGTGCTTGTGAGACTGCTGCTCTAGGTGCCAGTGCGTCTGCGCTCTCAGGTACTGGTGAGACTGCGCTCTCAGAAACTCCGTTGGCTTCGGCCTCCCTCACTTTCACACTTGACTCCGGAGCTTCTCGCTCCTTCTTTCGAGACCGCACCACACTCACGCCGCTTGGTCGGCCGGTTGCAGTCTCTCTGGCTGACCCCTCTGGGGGTCCTGTCCTCTCTCACTTTTCCACTGTCCTCCCGTGTCCGGCTGCCCCCTCAGGCACCCTGTCTGGTCTGTACCTTCCCTCGTTCTCGACGAACTTGGTGAGTGGTGCGGACCTGCAGAATGCGGAGGTTCACCAGTTCACTCCGGCGAGTCAGCGGGTGACCCACTGCACGGACGCACGCACAGGCCGGCACCTGGCCACGTTCTCTCGTCGGCCGGGGTCGAGCCTCTACACCCTGACCACTGAGTCTCCTCCTGTCCCTGCGTCCGGTCAGGTAGCTGCGTCAGGTCAGGTGTTTGCCGCTGCGTCCCGGTCTGGCCTTGAGTCTGCCCCCTATTCGTGTCGCCTCCTGTCTCACGAGACTCTCCTGTGGCACCACCGTCTTGGCCACCCCTCCTTGCCCCGTCTTTGGGGCATGGCTTCCCGTGTCCTTGTCTCTGGTCTTCCCCAGTCTCTCTCTCCCCATCCTTCGGGACCAGGACCTTCCTGTGTCCCCTGTGTCGAGGGGCGCCTCAGGGCTGCTCCTCACTCTTCCCAGTTTCCCCCGACAGAGGCTCCCCTGCAGACACTTCACATGGATGTGTGGGGCCCAGCCCCCGTCCGTGGGCAAGGTCACGAGCGCTACTTCCTGTTGGTGGTTGACGACTACTCGCGTTACACCACAGTCTTCCCCTTGCGAAGCAAGGGTGCTGTCACTGAGGTGCTGATCGACTGGATCCGCGAGGCTCGTCTCAAGCTCAGGAGGAGCTTCGGCTCGGACTTTCCTGTTTTGCGTCTGCACTCTGACCGAGGTGGGGAGTTCTCCTCTCGCCTTCTGCGAGACTACTCTCGTGCATGGGGGATCCGCTAGACCTTTACGCTTCCGGGCTCTCCACAGCAAAATGGGATTGCTGAGCGCCGCATTGGCATGGTCATGGATGTCGCTCGTACATCCATGATGCATGCGGCTGCCCCCCATTTTCTGTGGCCGTTTGCGGTTCGGTACGCGGCGCATCAGCTCAACCTCCACCCCAGGGTCTCTCGGCCCGCGATGTCCCAAGTCTTGCTGTGGACGGGGAAGGTCGGCGATGCGTCTGCGTTCCGTGTCTGGGGATCTCGGGCGTTTGTCCGCGACTTGTATGCGCACAAGCTGTCCCCTCGTGCTGCTCCCTGTGTCTTCCTTAGCTTCCCCCCTGACGCTCCAGGGTGGCAGTTCTACCACCCCTCCTCTCGTCGTGTTCTGTCCTCCCAGGACGTCACGTTCGACGAGTCAGTCCCCTTCTACCGCCTCTTCCCCTACCGCACTCCTTCCCTCCCCCCGCCACCGGACTTCCTTGTGCCGATTCCCCCCC